TTTATCGGTTGTATATGAATGACAATGTTATATTATTTTCCTTTACATTTTTCTTTATAAATGTAGTTCACAAAATGTATAAATCTCTTAGCTTATTAAAAAAAATATAAAATCATTGTAATCGGCATAAAATTCATACTTGAATGGCAAAATTTGTCGTTCGTGCAATTATGAATTCTGCCATGTGCAGTCCAAGCGTTGCCATCGACTTGAGATGAACACGTACTAGACTACGCGCCGACTATCATAGGAGATGACATTTGTAATGTGCTTCAATTTACCTTTTGCCGGCGGTAGCGTGTTATAGAGCACGCCAACTACGACATGGCGTGGGGCTGCAACGCATGCCAGTGGCGAATTTCGTAATGAATAATAAATCTTCTTTTAATGTGTAATGTGTTGTATAATGATCTATTGACTCGATATTACAGTTGGTTATTCTGAACTACTCAGTTTTAAAAAGTCAAAAAAATTCCTCGAAAAAATTCATCGTATTTAAACTAATTCAAATATTGGAAGGACAATGTGTAAACAGATAAATCGGTATCTTAATTGTAAACAATACGATAATAAACAATTTGGCATATTCCCTTGACATACAGATTATGTTTAATGTAAATACTAATTAGTTTTAATATTGTCTTTCTCAATGAAACAAGTCATACCATTAAAACTAAATAGAAATATCCTTCGTTTAATTTAATCAACAAAATGGATAAAAGTGAGGAGAAAATAGAAGAAATTGTCTCAAAAGATAATTTAAGTGAACGCGACATTGCTATTTCAGATGATAAAAAGTACGTGTGTGATATTTGTCAGGAAGCATTTATTCTGGAATCAAGATTGATAACACACCGAGACACAACACACAATGAACAAAAAAACTATGCATGCGACAAATGCGAAAAGAAATTTGAGTTCCGAAGTCATTTAAGTAGACACCAAATATCATTACACAAAGACCGCAAAGATTTTCCATACGACCAGTGCGAGAAGAAATTTGTGAAACAATCGAGTTCGGTTATGCATATAAAATTAGTACACAAAGATCGAAAATATTTTTCATGTAACAAGTGCGAGAGAAAATTTGAAAATAAATCAACTTTACTTAAGCATAAAAAAATATTTCACGAAGTATTCAAGAATTACTTGTGTGAAATGTGCGCGAAGAGATTTGATACTAAACATCTTTTGCTCGTGCACATAAAGAGAGTACACAATAGTTGCAAAGATCACGCATGCGATAGGTGCGAGAAGAAATTTGGAATCAGATCAAATTTGTTAAAACACCAAAGGACAGTACACGATGGTCGCAAAGATTTCACATGTGACAAATGCATGACGAAATTTGCGGATCAAAGTATTTTGAACAGACACATAAAAACAGTCCATGAAAGTCGCAAAGATTTCGCATGTGACAAATGCGAGAAGAAATTCGGACTTCAACATCATTTGATTGTCCACCAAAGGACAGTCCATGAAGGTCGTAAAGATTATGCATGTGACAAGTGCGAAAAGAAATTCGGGCATAAATGGCTTTTGCTCGTCCACTTAAAGACAGTCCATGAAGGGCGGAAAGACTACGCATGTGACAAGTGTGAAAAGAAATTTGGACATAAATGGCTTTTGCTCGTCCACTTAAGAACAGTTCATGAAGGTCGGAAAGACTACGCATGTGATAAGTGTGAGAAGAAATTTACACGAAAATCGACTTTGCTCTTACACAAAAAAAAAGTTCACGAAGGTCGCAAAGATTTTGCATGTGATAGGTGCGAGAAGAAATTTACTGAAAAAGGAGTTTGACCGTACACATAAAGATCATCCATGAAGGTCGCAAAGATTTCGCATGTGACAGGTGCGAGAAGAAATTTGGGGAAAAATCAGTTTTGTTGAAACACCAAAAGTCAATCCACGAAGGTTGTAAAGATTACGCATGCGACAGATGCGAGAAGGAATTTGGACAAAAATCAAATTTGATATTTCATCAAAAGACAGTCCATGAAGGTCGCAAAGATTTCGCATGCGACAAATGTGAAAAGAAATTTGTTCAAAAAGGGAATTTCCTCATCCACCAAAAGATAGTTCATGAAGGTCGCAAAGATTACTCGTGCGATAATTGCAAGAATAAATTTGGGGCTAAATCAGATTTGATTAGGCACCAAAAGACAATACAAGAAAATCGTAGAGATTTTACATGCGACAGATGCGAGAAAAAATTTGGACGACAAAGTGATTTGACAAGACACCAAACATTAGTTCACGCGGGTCGCAAAGATTTAACATGCGACAAGTGCCAGAAGACATTTGGTCGAAAATCTCATTTGCTCTCTCATCAAAAGACAGTACACAAAGGTCGCAAAGCCATTGCTTAACTTCATTGTATAATAATCGTGTTCATGACGATAATTTTTTTTATGATAGCTTGCTTGCTATGCAACTAACACTGGTTATTTTTTTATTCAAACGTTGATATCTTAACGGGTTACATAGCTTTGTGAGATGTAATTTTTTTTTAAATTGTATTTCAAAAACTAAAAATTTAACCAACTCAAAACGTTTACACAATAACGTTAAATCGTTACAAAATCTGTAAAAAAAATTTAGCTAAAAATGTTGAAAATAACCGATCCTCCTTTTACTTTTATCGGTCACTCTTTTATTTCCTGGCAGAATATACTCTTAGCTAGTGATTGAACGAAGGAAAATAAAAAATGATGAAAATTGAAGAAAAAATCATATTCCCAATATGGGCATGGTAAGAAATTCATTCAAACTCGTGTCAATTCATCAAATTTCATCATTTTTATTTTCCTTTATTCGCCAAGTTTGAACTTTAAGAAATATGATACATTCTTCGTTTTCAATGATCCTAGCCGGAAAATATAAGAGTGGCCGAAGAAAACTGATTATGATAGAAAATTGATAAATTTCAACATTTATAGCTGAAATTTTTTCTCAGCTTGTTTAACGGTTAAATTTCATTGAGTAAAAATTTAATTTTGATTTGAAATTTGGTTTGAAGTAAAAAAAAGTCTATCTCCCAAAGATATGTAGCCCCTTAAAATAAAGGTGAACAAGCCCGTCGCGATTAAAGAATGGTAGTAATGAATTTTCAATTAGTTTTTTCCCATTGTCACGAACATACATAATAGCATGCAATTGTGCGTCTCATAATAATCAAGTTTTTATGTATAATTTATTGATCATTCGTATATCTCGAAATCATTGCTGGCATATGTTTATTTAATATCGCGGTGGTGTTTTATTTTTGTACCAGACGAAATTTTATGTACTGCTAATTATTCTTCGTGCATTTTTGGCTACTTACTTACTGCAGCTTTTGATGTAATATTCAGCTGAGGGGTTTTTTTTTATTTATTGGAATCTTTGTTAGAACTGTGAATGAAGCGAGTATATAGTAGCTACTCAATTTTTTATAAACCTCACGTAATGACGTAAGTGAAGTTGATTTAAGTAGTTAGAGAAAGATTTTTATAAGTTTGCTGACAAACCGATTATTTCTTTATGATCAGTAATAAAAATATATTCTTATAAAAAAAAACTAACGTGAAAACCACTTGGTAATTTAATTTCCACATTTTTAAAGATGATTAGAAGCTCCTTTTATCCTTTTCCTAATTACTTTCATTAATCCAAAATCTTATTGCAATCCTTTTTTTAATTTTCCGAATTTCCAAAAATTAACTGCCTTAATTCAGTGGTAAATGAAAGTTTACGTGGGAGGTGGAACTTTTTCTAATCTTGGACACTTTTGTTTTGTGTCCAGCTCAACGCACAGACTAAACTCACATAAAATACACTGTACTATACCGATTTTTATATGAGCCGAATTGCTCCTATCGCTTCTGCTTGGTTCTAAAAAAATTCTGCATAACTGCACCCATGAGTAATAAGCGCGGCTTCCTTTTTTTTATTTTTCTCGGCGTACACCAATGTATAATACACGACAAGAGTCGTAAATTTCCCTCAGTTTAGCAGCCAAAATCGACGCGCTTCAAGATATATACAAGCGAATTTATATACATATACTACATCCGTACGAATTGCAACGAAAGAGAAGAGAGAACGAAGCAGACGGAGAGAAGCAGAAGAAGAAGAAGCTGCGCGCATATAATATACACTCGAGCGCGGGACCCCGGAGATAAGCGAAGCGCAAAAAATAGTATAATATATAAGGTGCGCGCGAATAAGACAGAGAGAAAGAAATGCAAATTGACGGAGCGCGTTGCGGTTGCTGCTGTCCAGCCAACGTCGCTGCTGCCGCCGCCGCCGCCCTTTATCGCTCCGGTGTAATGCTCGACTTTATAGTCCTCAATATAAGAAGAGGTAGGACGCCTTTGCCATCTCTCTTCTGCTCCGTGCTCGTGATTCGAGTGAGCGAGAAAGAGAGAGAGAGCAAGGATGTGAAATTTGTACCAAGTGTGACTCTTAATCTTTTTCCCTTGGCTTTTGCACGGATCCAGTCACACTCACAAGCACGATCGCAGAGTAAGAGAGTAAGACTTGCGCGAAAAATAAAAAGAAGAAATAAGGGAAAAACCAGTTATGTACTATGTATACAAGGGCTTCTCTCACGCCTTCTTCTGCTGATTTCTCTCTCTTTTCACATATTCTTTTGGGATGCAAGCGAATGAGTTAATCGAGAAGACGACGACTACAGCGCGACGACGTTCTTGTCTTAATTCTGCAAAATAACGCGTCGCCGGTGTTTCTTCTTTTTATTATACCTGCGCGCACACACGTCTTTATATACAGCGTGCACATTTGTATACGCATCGGCAAAAAGCCTCTTTTGCCTTCTATACTTGCGATACGTGTGAATTCTGCCGTTTCGACCAAAAAATTGTGAAAACTGACTGAAGACAGGGCGAAGGAAGGGGGACGAGGGAGCATTAAAGGATTTAGCCGCGGATTCGATGTAGAAAATGTACACGCATTGTCATTTATTATTTCTTTTTTTACTCGTTATTATTATTATTTTTCGTGTTTTGTTTAATAAATTTCTTCTCTTTTATACAATGACAAATGTTGACCAATTGGTATTGATATGAGTATAATCATTATATTATATTATAATATGTACAAAAAAACAAGCACGAAATTTACACATAGAATCAGTAGCCTTTTCTTCCACATATATTATGTCGATATTTTTATGTATTTATAATTTATGTATAATTCAATCCTAAGAATATTTATTTAAGGGCTTACAGGCATCTTCAAATCGAATTTCTCAAATTACTTCTTTAGTAAAATTTAACGTCATTGCGGAATATCATTGCGGACATCATGGTCGCGAATTCGGGCAAAGGGATCGTAGCCATAGGTCACTCCGGATGAATAATTTCACGATGGAGATCACAAAAAATAAAGAAAAATAAAATCATACTTAAGTGTTTTGTGCAGAACGATTTACGGGTTCAACCACTTCGCCCGAGGTTGTGGCGATAAGCATTGATGTTCCGAAGAATACACCACCTGGATGCTGTAGCTCAAATGGTTGGTTCTCAATATTACGACAGGTGAATGAATTTTTAAAAAAGATGAATTGCCAGAAAATGTTAGAGAAGGGGATCAATCGATTCATGAACACTAAATATTTTACGGAAACTGTTGAATCTTGATGAATAGTTATAAAAAATTAAACTCAAACAAGATCTTCTCAAATGACAAGAAGAATCCAACTAAAAAAGCAATAAAAAAATTTAATTTCAAGATACTTATAAGCCCTTAAGACAGCACGGTTTAATTATAATATATTTTTGTCTATGTATAATATATATTTATAAATCTTTGCTAATGATTTTTAAATCGTGTGCATTTAGTCATTTGCTAAAAAAACAAATAATAATAAGTATTTCAATGAACGAACACAACTTGTTCAAAATCTCGAAGTTTCGAACTGACAAAAGTTGCGTGGCTTGTGTATCTTTATACTTTTCACATATAAACATTTTTCTTTCTGAATCCGTGTGAAATTAACACGCAATTTTCGATTATATTCACCTCTCGATAATCATTCTTATTTACTTTTTGTCTATTTGGGACTAGTTTTGAACTCCTTTGTTATATCGAGACGACGCGATTTCCCGGTCGATGAACTCATTGAATTTTTCGCACATTAACGCACGAGCCGCAAATTGAAATCACGTAACGTATGAAAAAGAGTCAATGAAAGACAGTCTTTGAAGCTTACTCGAACATAAATTTATCAAATCTATATCGAATTGATTGATTCAATTCGCTCTTATTATGCAACATCAATAGCAGCAGTTTGCATTTATACAAATTAATTATTGCGTAATTCAGTTGTAATTACATCATCGATAAAAATAATATTAAATATTGTAGAAAGAGTCTTCACAATTAGACACTAACAGTAACGAGATAGTAATACTTCCGTTCGGAGCTGCGATTTGAACAAGACGACTTCTGAAAAAGGCGAGATAAAAGTATCACTCGGGAAACATCACACATCTCACGAATTTGGTTTCATGAAAAGTGTGCCTAAATTTTACTTATAATAAAGTATAGGTATATCCGTAAACGAAACCACACACCTCAATTGTAAAGCAATCATCGCGGTATTGTACAGATATGTACATACTATGATTTAAGTTCCACTTGTTTATACCCACATTCACGCGGAGTTTCGAACCACTAAAGAGGGAAAATGTATTTTTAATACATTTTCATGAAGCACATCAACGGTCGTGTTTGGTGAGCTCGAGGGGCTGCTGCTCCGGCCACCGATCGTGCCACGAGTTCGGCGAGTCTTGCACTTGGATCTCCTCGTCCTCGTCGTCGTCGACGTCCATTTTGTCCATCCGACGCTCGATCCTCGACTCTTCCCTCGAGCCGATGAGATCGTCGATGGCTCGGAAGGCGCTGGGTCGAAATTTCTCCACGGTTTTGAAGGCGCTCTTCTCGCCGCTACCGAGCCTCGATTGTGACGGCTGATGCGGTGGCGCTTGAGGCGTAGTCGCGCCCGCCAACACCGCGGCCGGCGGTGGCGCTGACACCGGGCTCAGAGAGCTCAGCGGATTCTGATGATGATGAAGCTGTGGATGATGATGGTGATGATGGGGCGGCGAACGTTTCAAGTGGTTCATGCGCTGATGCCGGCGCCACTTGGCACGTCTGTTCGAAAACCATACCTGAGAATCAATGCATCGTGGTACCAACGAATTAGCTACTAATGAAATCAGTGACAATCGATTTTCGCGATTTTTCCATTACACGAAGCTCACCTGCACTCTTGCCTCTGATAGCGATGTTTTCGATGCGAGTCGTTCTCGCGTCGAGACGCACGGGTAGTGAGATCGCTCGAACTCTTTTTCTAATTCCTCCAGCTGTTCCGGGCTAAAAGTCGTTCGATTACGTCGAAATTTTGGTTGCTCCGAACCGTCCAAACTGCCGTCGTCACCGTCCCCATCTAATAAAAAATAATTATGCCCGGTTAAGGATACCTATAATCGTAATCGATTATTGAAATTTCACAGCCCTGGCAAAAATTCTCAACATAAATAATGTCTTAGTTGCCAAAAGGTGACCGTTTGAACTGTTTCAAAAATTATTACTATGAGTTAACTTGTTTCTGACAAAATTTTGATTTCAACAATTATGTTACAAATATCAAGAACATTTCAAATGACCGGAAAATGATAATTTAATTGTTTCAAACATTTCGACTCGTTTTTAATATTTTTAAATTCAATAACACTACTTTAAGCCTCCAGCACCTTCCAAACCACCACCACCACTAGATGGCGAGTACCTGTATCAGGAAACCTGCTAGTGGCAAAGTAATGATTACTGTATAAGGCACGGCTCTGTTTTGCAAAACTTTCAATTACTTCTTTCCTCTAATGGTGATTAAAAATGGTGATTTTCATGAATTATATGCAGTGAAAAAATAATTATACAACAAATGTGGAACATTACAAGGCCATAAAATGTTGCAAAAAAGTTACACTAACAAACTTTTTCGCTGGCCATAAAGTAGCCTTAAAATGTCGAGTATTTTGACCAGGAAGTATAATTTTCCATTTATCTTGAATGGCGGGCCAACAAGAAAATTTTACAGTTTTACGTGTTTTATTTATGCGCACTTTCAAGCTATAATTGCGCGTATAATAGTTATTTATGCAACAAGTGCCCAAAAGACGTTTTTGGGCACGTGTTGCATACAATAACTTTTTAAATTTGTTTCTCGGCTCATATAATTTTTTTTCTTCCTCTATAAATCCTGTAGAAGGATTTATTTGTAAAAATGAAATTTTTTTACAGATGACCAAAGAACTCACCTGGATGCAAGTATCCTCTGGCGATAGCGTCGACAGCGTGCAGCGCGTGCTCCGGACTGGTGGCGGCTGCCGCAGCTGCAGCCGCGGCCGCGGCTACCGAGGGTAGGGGTTGCTGCAAAAGCAGGGCCGAAGCCGACCCGGTGATGCCGGCCGCCGAGAGACCGCCGGGAAAGAGCCAGGAGTGAGCGGCCGCGGCCGCCGCTGCCGAATTCGGAACCGTGCCCGGTGGCCAGGGCGAGACCCCCGATGCTTGGCCGGCCGCACTCTGTTGCTGCTGCTGTTGCTGCAAATACGCTTGTGGATTGCTGGCGTAGGCATTGACGTAAGTGGCGCATCGCGCGAACTCCGCTGCCGCCCGTTCCGCGGCACGATTCCTCAGTATCCTGTTGATGCTGCTTACCGACGGGGCCGTTGCGTTACTGCACACACCTATTTACGGATGACGGGTGAGTTTTTCAGGACCAAATGGCGCACGCTACATTTTGCTGAGCAAATGGATGTAATGGATGGTAGATGTGAAGGTTTTGCAATGACAAGTGGTATTTATTCGTTGAAGCTTGAAAAAAATCTCGTGACTCTACGTGTGCGTTTGTGCATTATGCTCACTAGTACGCATATGTTGCTCGCGCATTTTCGCTACTTTGAATTCTTTAACCAACGTTTTAAGTGACTTTTATTCAATGAGGGCTCAAAAAAAAAAAGAACTACCTCACACGTATATTATTATTTACCTTTTGGATGTAAAAAAAGACCACGCTGGCCCAAATGTTCGTTTTCTTTTTTTTGCTGCCGTGTAAAGTTAAGGTAAACAAAAAAAAAACAGACACCCAGCTTCGTGCAGCAACACAAACAGCAGCGATAGCTATTGTGCGTACGCTGCACACAGCACGAGAGTAAAACGATTGCAACAACGATATAATATACTGCAAAAATTGTAGACCTCCTCCCGAGGAAACGCGAAAGTGCTAGTAACAGCTGTTCGAATTTACATTTTACACTCATTCGTACACACGCACATTTCATGCTCGCGTTGCATAAGTCATAATATTGCATTTGCCAAGTGATGCTTCGATGTACATCAGTGAAAATTAATTTATATTCCTGTGTACGCTCGGGTATATTAATATTTGTTCAATTCTCTATAAAATCTAATGATGCTAGACGTTTTTTTCATTTGACATGAGATAAATATTGTATGAACATGTTTGTCACAATAGAAATGATCGTAGACATTGTTAAGATTCTTAAATTGTTCTAAGAAAACCCTTTTTCAAGATTTGATTAAATTAATGAATTATTTATTAAAAATTATTTAATTTTTCAATGAAAGCGTTTTCTTATAAAAAAAAAATCAGAAAATTTCATCAAATTGTCATAAAGTAGATATAAAATTTTCATGATACCTTGATAAAAAAAACTACCAAAAATTTAAATAATTGAAAAGAAGTACAAAAACGACCATAGATAGAGCAAAATGAAGACCTTCTCAGAGCTTTGAAAAATAGTGACGTGACGAACATGTCGTTCGTATAAATTTTGTAAATATTATGATTCCATTTGATGATTTTACAGAAAATCAGCCATGTACAAATATATTCTTATTAATTAGTGATTGATGAATTTGAAAGAAGCACATTGTGATTGCACACGTGTTGCAGCAGCTATAATATAGAAAATAAGATAGGAAGAAGCAGATGAGGAGGTAAATAAAGAAAAAAGGAGAAGAATAAAAGTGATAATGATGATGGGACTAGAGACTTACCCTCGGAGATCAATCGCTCGCGTATCTCCCAAGCGAAGATGGTGGGGTTCTCCCGTTTGTATTGCTCGATCTTGGATACAACCGCGGGCGTCGCTACCTTAGGCTTGCTACCGCCAATGAGACCCGGTGGGCGGAGGGTGCCTGCAATCACACAAAGGATAAATCAACACCTCTCTCTTTTGTGCCGATGCTGCTCGCTGCTCCTGCTCCTGCTTATTTTCTTCTGCCGCTGGATTTCACGTACACACAGACTCATACATACATTCAAAAACGCTTGTCGCGCATACGCTTCTGGCTGAAAAACCGCCGACTCAGTGAGTCTTTTTCTTGCACCTTATAATTTAGATAATATTCAGATAAAATTCAAAAAATTGATTACAAACTGCGCAGATGAAATAAAATTGGGATGAGAAGTTATTTGGATCTTGATTTCGATGCAGCTGCCAGATGCATTCGATGAAAACTTCATCGATATATTGAGATCGCAACCCATCCACCAAAAGCGATTCGCATTGTTTCGCGAGGGCTAAAAAATAGGGTAATCCGTGCAAAAATACAAAGGCCAAAAAAACCGCGATCGGATATTTCAATCTCGTGTGCCACTGAAAAAGTTCACTATATATTATATATCATTGTGAGTTTATGTGCTCAAACGAGAGTGAATGAAGGTTTACAGATATATGGTAGCGGGGCCGTAATTACGAAATTTTTCGGCCGTTAAATGGGCCATTCGACCGCTGATTTCCAGACTTGTGCGCTTGCATGTCAAACAAAAAACCGTAAGATTTTGGCGTGTCAGCTTTAAGAGCCCCGTGGCTTCAGTCACTCTCTCTGCTTATGTCTTTCTTTCTCTCTCCTTCGCATCTTTTGTGTATTGATAATTTGGAAGGCTACCCAGCTATTCAATTCCTATATATAATATGTGTGTGTGTGTATAATCTGAGCAATTATATTAGCAAGCGGTCAGCACGTATGAGGCAAACTACAGGAAATTCTTCGACCGATTCGACGAGTCCTTTTGGAGACATGCGGACGTGTGGAGCGCCTCGCTTTCTCTCTCTCGCTCTTGCATCCTACGTGATGTATATATTCTCTAATTTTTCTCTTAAATAGTGTGCCACAAAATTATATGGGATGACCGAGCCATTTTCGATATTTTTAAAATTCCCCAGAAAATATACCTATTTAAGGGCGATGGAAAAAATAGTCTTTTGCGGCATTAGTTACCGCGTGCACGAGAACAAAACGATTTTTTCACCTCCTCTTTGGGCAATATTTGCATCTTAAAAGAGTCACGCGATTTCTCACTTTCGATCGGTCGCTTTGTGTCTCGTCTCGTCGCTCGTATACGTACGCATGAAAACACGGATGTGCATTGTAAAGTACATCCCGATACATTAATCACAAAACACGCCTTTCGTTAATCTCTGCGAATTAATTGCAAGGACGAGAAAAAAAATTTAAGACAAATTTCTCTTGTCTCGTCGTGTATACGCTGGTATTACGCGCATCATTAATAATTTGCGACCAAATGAGATCGCACACGATTCATAAAATAATCATTTTTTTTTTCAATTATTTTTCTTCGTATTTGCTCGAGATCCTCGCGCGAGCGTGTATACGTCTTCGCGTGCAGCATTATGTATAGCATACGCACTCGAGGTCACGAATATATATAAGAACGTCCAAGAAAAATAAGTAGCAAAATTATCGAGCTGATACGCGCAATGATGATGCATTATAATAAATAATGTATGCGTAACGAGCCGTTCCCGGTGGCTAGACGATTCTTCTAGCGAACAATATATCAAACACGCGAGGCAGAAGAGAAATCATGGGTTTAATGTTATTCGATGAGCTTTGTCTGAGAAATTTTTTTTCTTTTATGCGCATCATTTAATCGTCGCTAGAGATCGTTATGTTTTTAAGCGTTCACATGAAAAGGCAGAAAATGAAAAATGCATGCGACTCGACGGCTGCTACTGCTGCTGCTACTCCTCCTCAACCTCCTCCCCCTCGTTCTGAAAATGCACGTGCAAAGCGACCCGCGTGCGCGATGATGCTTATAAAGCATATATTATAGTATGCTGGAACGTTACACGCGGGGAGTATGTAATTATTGAGTATTTCAGGAGCGTCGGAACACATTGTGTTGTGCAAGAGATGAGATATCAATTTTTATTTCTTTTTTTCTCGCTCGTGTGTACATTCTCGTATGCGCTCGGTTGTGTTCAGCTCTTGCGGGTCTGTGTTTCGTACGGTGCATTATTCTGCCTCTTCTTTCTCATCGTTCGTTCCTATGCACATATAATACATTGGCTGCTGTTTCGCCGTTGATTGGCCGATAATGGCAATGCGTCCGTGCTGATCGCGATGATGACGGCGACGATGATGATACCCTGACCAGATCTTCACTTGGCTTTTAATCTTTATTACCCCCCGGATGATTTACCGTACGCAGTATACGATTAAAAATTTCGTGTTGCTTATTTCAATGGACTTACGCGTTCGACTATTGAAAATAATCAATAATTAAGTCATTTGTTATAACAATCTTCAAATCTTACAAAAACAAAGAAAACAATTGACGCGAGAAACATTCTTGTTTTGCTTTTTTTGAGATATAGAGGATCTATCACGTAGCTATCGTTTATATTACTGCTGCGCGTATGTAAAAGCGTATATTGATCATCGATAATCCGATAAAAATGCTAAGGTTGCCCTTGTCCATGTAAGTTCGCACCTCGCTTTCTCATCTAGCTAGCTTCACATTGTACGTACCTACCTTTGTGTCGCGTACATGTGCGTATGTGTGTGCGTTTACGCGTATACACTATCGTACACCCGCGTATGAGCAATATTCGCATCGATGCTCACACCCGTGAAGTCGTGCTAATGCAAAATTACCCCTTGACTTCACCTACAGACAAACCAGCTTATAGCTCTCTTCACCGACTCTCTCTGTTTTCTCTTTCACTCTTGGTCTTTTTTCTTCTTCGTGCAAAGTGCCCTTACGCAGCGTGTGTATACGCGCACCTATATGTTTATACGTGTTTGTGTGTGTGCAGCAGACAAAGGCTAGTGTACAATGCGAGTAAAAAACTCATCCGTATAAATATATACATACGTCGATGTACGCGTCGTTTGTACCTATCGAACGATTGAAATCCGTGTGTGCGCGCAAAGGCCCGAATCGTAATCGCGCATCGATCGACTTGAAGGGCTTTTGCTGGGTTCATTACAACAACTACGACAACTACAAACAACAACAAAAAGTTTACAAAGGGTTTAGCTGCAGCAGCTGTTTATCGGCAGGTATCGCAAATTTTTCACTATGGTAGTTTTGCAGCTCATATAGATAATGGTGAAACCGCGCGGGTGACTTTACGTGAAAGTGGAATTTTGTAAAGAAAAAAAAGCAACAACAAGAAAAGAAAAAAACTACATGAAAAAGCACAGAAGATGCGCGTCCAGAATGAAGGCTTCTTACAATTGGATTAAACTGCGGCCCGCGCCTCTCTCTATCGCTATGTGTGCGCATGTAGCTGTGCGCAAAGCTTATGTGTGTGTCGTGTCTGTGTCTCCATGTGTATCGCAAACGACACAACACACAAACACATATTTACGTGCACTTCTAGTGTAAGTAAGATGCGGCTAGAGCAGAATTTCCATACGCCTTGTGTACGTGTGTACGTACGTGCTCATATCTGCGAGCTCCACATGTGTGCACGTATATTCATACTATATCGAGGCGACGTATAGCTATATACACATTTAGAAAGACTAAGGGGTTCCGGGAAGTGGTGGCGCAGTGGTGTCGGCTTGTCATTAGTGTGGAAATAGTCCCGTAACCGGCTGTATCGACTGTCTTTCTGCTTAGAGCTCCGTGTGCGCAATACACATACCAGGCGACGACCAACTTGTGCATCTCGAGAGTGTATATGAATCGGCAATAGGCATATTGCAGAAAAGTTCAGTTCATATAATTGACCAAAGGTGCATACATTCATACGAGCACGACCTGCTTTATTCAGTTTTTTGTATAGTTATTTTCTCGGTCATTGCGTTGATTCGATCATCTTTATACTGAAAGAGTTTTATACTATACAAAACTACGATGTTGATTGAAATATCCGCTTTTGCGATCTCTCGTAACCAGCGTAATACTATGGTAATTACTGGAACCTTTATTCATCTAATATTAAAAAAAAAAGAAGCAACTAAATTTGCCCATAAAACCAAATCAAAGTTAACTCGTTAAAAGCTCGCGCAGTAAAATCGCGGAATCAATTTCGCGAGACAAATATGTAATGATTAACTATAGTCACGAGCGCAGCGAGTGCAAACCCGTGTGTGCTGTGCGCGAGCTGGCCTTGAAAATACTTCATACCTGTCGCGTCGAATTAGCTCGATGTTTGAAAAATGCTAACCGCGGTAGCAGTTTTATAAAACGCGATTGCAAAAGTTTGCTCGATTACAAATCAATTTGCGAAGCGAGCTCGATTAATTTTTGCGCGCATAAATTAATCGCTGCTTTATTATTCATCAGAAAAACAACAAGCGGTGCCGCCGCCGCCGCGCGTATCGCGAGTAGCTGCGAGCTTCCGAACAGAATAATACAAACATTCGTTTTTCATTATTCGATCGATTGCACGCGCGCAATAAAGCAAAAAAAGAAAGGAAAAACGACGACGATGCGCGCGTAATATCGATTGTGCGCGACGTTCCGGACGATAAAGATACAATCGACGAGTTTGTATATATGCGCGCGCGCGTCTACGTTTATAGACTATTCGAACGAGTTGGCGTTGGCAATTATCGAGCAAAAAGTCGCCGAATTTTTTCCAATAAATATATTTCAAATGGGCGTCCGAAGACTCTAAATCTTCCCGTAAGTGCCTCTGTCTGCGCGCGCGCGCGTACCTACGTATCTATATGCAGGAACTGAAGACGTTGCAACAACAACAAGAGCACATACCACACCCTGTGTATGTATTATATACGCGCACGACGTTTAAAGCTTCCACTGCTGCTCCTGCTGCTCCTGCTGCTGCTGGACTAGCTAGATCCAAATTCCCACGAAATCAAAAGCCGGCAACTACGTTAGGGTCTGCGTGTATGTGTATGGACTTTTCAGTTGCTGCGCGGCAAGCTCATAAAATCGAACTTTATACTACCGGTCGTTAAAATCCTCTCTGGCTTGCGCGCGCGTCCGCAGTTCTACACCTCGTATTCTGCACCTTTCCGCGAGCTTCAATCATCATCGCCATCATCACCATCATCATCTTCATCATTGTTATTGCCCAGCAAGCAATTGTTTTCCTTTTCCTCGCCCCTCCCTTTATTATTATATACGTATATAGGTATTTTCATGTTCTATATATGAGAGAGCATAACGTCGTTTTAAGAGTCGATTATTGCTCGCGAATGTAGCAGATATGTGCGAGTCGCGGCGCGAGAGCACAAAAACTTTCAAGCATACACACACGCTCGCTTCGGCTTAACAAGTCAATAATAGCCGCCGAGCGCGCAATTTTCCAACTCTACTATCCGACAAATTATATAAGCCGGTAATAACGAACTTGCTCGGTATTTTATATAGGCTCACGATCGACTCGTTATGTGCGATTCACGTTCCATCGAAGCCGAGCTTCGAGACAATTTTAGCGCCCTTTTGCAATTCAGCCTCGCCGAGGATAATCTTGGCGAAACTGATTTTACGAGTTCGCGCGGCTAGTTTTCCGCGAGTTTAACGATTTCGCGCTTGTCTTAGGTACGATTTTTAGAGGCACATATCAGTTCGTTTGAGAAACTATATAGATAATTAAGACCAATGATTTTGCATGTGAGAAATTATTACTGCAAAAATTCCACGTAATGTTTGAGCAATCATCATTCCTATTGTTTAATCTTTTCTATTATCTAATATGAGTTTGAATAAGCATAATTCCTATTTAGAAACATTTACGTTTAATATGTGGTTTTGCCTATTTAGATCGTATACATAATATTTTACAAAAATAAGCTTATCTAATAATCGATTTGCTACTTAGATCAATTTAATTTTAAAGCAAATAAATTTGCTCGAAATCGATGTTTGTATAATAATCGCCGTATCACATAATTTGCGTCGAAAGCGTGTAAGATTTACCTTGTACCGGTCTCGAGCCGTGTATGTACATTATTTTCGCAGCTGCTGCGCCGTGCTGCTGGTAAACGCGATCCGATAATCGATTTATTTTCAATATCTTTTTCTGCGACTCCAGAAAGAAAAATGATTAAAGAAGGTAAAGGCGTCAAACGATACCCACACATCGATCCAAAATCAAACAAAGCAAGCACCACGCATCGAATATGCTACCACGTCGTTTATAAGACCATAAAATTTCTCTCAACCCGATTCTTCTTCTTCTTCTTCGCCATGCACAAAAAAACTGTAGAACGCGCGCTACACGTATACCGAAACTTCATAAAACTGCTGTTTATTCGTAATCCGCAGACAAACTTGGTGCAAGTAATGCATGCAACGTGTACGTATAACTTTGATTTTTTTTTTCAACCCGTGCAGCAGCCGCAACTCTCGCGCCTATACATAATATATAATGACCAAACCGAACGATCGCATGTGCATACACACATATAGAGGTTTGCGCCTCCAACAAAAGAACCAAAATTTAAAGACCAAGCGAGCGCGCGAAAAAAAGGAGACTCGCGGCGCGGTAAGAATGCGCGCGCGCGCGAGCTCGTGTCTATATAGCTGCAGCACACACAGTCCAGAGCATCATCATCCCTTTTAGCTCGTTAACTTTACGAGCAGCTCGTAAAAATCTCGAGACTATCCTGGCAAAACTTGCTCACGTCCCTCTCTCACTCTTTTACTCGTATCGTTTCTCTCTTTCTCGCATGTTATATTATATACACGTGTGCAAGTCGACAAGCGCAGACACTCGAGAGCAAAAGCGAGGCGCGCATAACGTCTTCATTTAGTACGCGCATAATGTGCCGATAATCGGGGAGAGGCCCGAGCCGAGAGGCAGCCTCTCATCTCTCGTCGTGCGCACGATTACTTAAATCGAGCTTTTGCAGATAAGCATCGCTCGCTGCGGAATCGTGAATGGACTCGTGTGCTGCGCTACATACACGTATACCGAGCCGAGGCGCAGGACTATTATTTATTTCCAGAAGAAATGATCATCGCTGGCAAAAGGTGTGGATTTTTGAGGTTGCTTTAACGGCTTAATTAATTAGCATAATCGGATACGGATGCTATGTATGTGTTACATAGGTGTGCGTCTGTGCCTTGTATGTATATGCGATCGAGGACGAGACACGCGCGGGCACTGCTCGTATAAGGATGTTATCTCGATTTCCTTTGGGGCCCCGAGAGTGTCCCGCTTGCTCGCAAGCTCTCTCGCCTTATTTTTTACTCGCCTTCTTCGTCGCAAAATGACTTTTTGATGTTTTAAAAGCCAGAGAGCGAGAGAGAGAGAACGAGAGGAGAGAAGCAGTAACGCGAGGCTCGAGATCGCCCAAACTGATTGCGGTTTTGTCAATTATATCGAATCGAATATATATTAAAACGCGCGCAAATGAGGTGCGTCGAAGAGTCGATCGTCGCCTGCCAAACACCTGTTAATAACTTTCGAGCGAGAAAAAAATTAGCATGACTATCGCGCGCCTCTTTAAAGTGTAATCGATTATGTGATTCTTTCCTCTTTCTTTTTATTTTATTCGCTTGCTTGTCTCGATTAAAAAGTACACTCTCGTGCGTTATCAAGATTCGATTACTATCAGCGCGGCTGTTGATGTGTATCGAGCCGCTAAGTAAACAAAAAGATGCTCACCGAAAAGTTTACTGACAGCCGGCTGATTGAGCACGTGATTGGCTATTTCGCTGTAGTACCTCACGCCGATGCCGTGATGCAGCTCGAGCAGTCTCTGCTGTTGCCTCGACTCGCTGCTGTGTCTGCTGCCGCTGTTATTGTTGTTGTTGCTGTTGACGCTATTGTTGTTGTTGTTGGTGGTGGTATTGTTGTTGTTGCTGCCAGCACCGCCAGCACCACCGCCGACACTCGAGAAAATATTGGCGAAGACGGCTGCAGCGGCATTGGGCAGATTCAGACTGGCCGCTCGGTGGTGAATATCTGCGTGCGATTCGAATACATTATATGGAGCTTGAAAAATTGCCGCGAGAAAACGAGTATCGCTTAACGATAAGGAGACGAAAAAGGCAACGAAAAAAAAAACAAAAAACAACTCGAGTCTCACCGAGCTGCGAAATTCATTTTCCCACCTCGTTACGTAAAATCAATTTAGTATTCTCTTTTAGCCAGTGCGCGCGCTCGCACATTCGCGCGTTACTCTTATAAAGCAGGAAAAAGGATGAAAAGGAACGTAAGAGAAGAAAAAAAAAGATTCTCAAACTGGCCTCTATATCGCACTTAACGAGCGCGCAGCGTGAGAGAAGGAGAGAGAGAGAACGAACAACAAAAGCAAAAGTAACGAAACAAAAAAAAAAAAAGGAAGAGTAAGAAGCGGCTGCTGCAAATTAATGGCGCAACATTAGGAGTAATCGGCCTGACTAATAACCCACATATTCCCCTTTTCTTCTCTTGCGAGAGAGCTGCGAGCTGCGCTGCTGTTGCTGCAGCACACAGCACCGATCTTTTTCGCGGTGTCTGTATCTATATATACACAACAAGCTCGCCAACAAGCCAGAAGACTAAAGGATATATACCCAGTTGTATTTTTTTTTCCTTCTCTTCTTTTTTTTTATTTGTCGTCGTCGTCGCCGCGCTCGTGCATGCGTTCGCGCCCAAGGTAGACAACACAAGGGATATTTCACACCGAATCGAATTAAAAGGTCTCGCGTCACACGGACACGCACAATCTTTCGCTCTTTCGCATATACACATACGCGCACACGTATATATATATAACATTTATCTGCGTGTGAGTGAAATTTTATTGCTGCGCGCAGAACTCGGAATGATTAAATCGAGAGCAGAGACACGCGAAGCATTTCAATTAGTCGTTCGCGCGCATACGGACACACATATATAGTCCTCTCTTTCTCGCTCCAATTAGCCTGCACACGCCATCGCTCTTTTCTTTATTCTCAATTCTCTCTCTCTCTCTCTCTTTCTCGCGCTCGCGTTAAGTCGCTGCGGATCTTTGTTTCTTGTGCGCGATATATATATACAACGCCTGAATGGAAGAAAGTCAAAGTTCGATCGATTAATATTTTTATCCGCAGATCCGAGTGCAAGGGAAAAGGAATAAAAAAGGAGTGTATAAGCAGCAGCCGAGCCGCCAGCCGAGTTAATCGAGCAATCATGACTCTACGTGTTATAAGTCATTGTCTTTTCGTTAATAACATAAAAGTATCAGCATACCAAATTCATTTATAATCTCTGCTCGCTGCGTATATAATATTAACACGTGAGACCAGTCGAGAGTTCTCTCTCCTTCTTTTTTTCCTTTTTTTTCAATTTTTTTTTGGTTGTTGTTTTTTTTCCGTCGACAAGCGTGGCAAATCGTTTAAAGGCGATTCCGTTTTTTGCGCTCGCCCTACATAGACTTTGGCTCTTTTAACTCGCGCATATATACAGCAAAACTTTTAATCATTTAGCCGCTGACTTGCATTTATTATCATCATCATTGCGAGCGATGCGTACATTACGTATTAACTGCCTGATGAACTGGGTAATTTCGTTCCTTCTTTCCTTTTTTCTTTTTTTTAATGCTTTTTACATCTTTTTTTCCGTCAAATCTTTCATTCTTGGGTAGGCACTGATTTTCAGCCTAATTTTACGTGTGGCGTTACGGCTCTTAAGAAGCTGCGAGCGAATATCGTGCGAGCTCGATTAGCCGCGGCCTCTTCTCTTCTCATCGCGTCGATCGATCGAATATCCCGTTCGTAATAATGAAACATATCTACACGCGGGGCCCGATCGAACGTGAGCAACGATTATCGTGCGCTTTCTTTTGTTGTTATAAAAGAAGATCGTCCCGGGATTCCGACCGCGTTGCGCGACACTGCACAACAACGAGCTCCGAAGCTGCCGCTGCGGCTACGGCAATAAAAGCTTCTACTATTCGCTCGTATATATACATCAATGGCGATTCCGAGGGCTCACCTTTTCGCGCGCGCACGCGTCTCGAAGCGCGCGGCGCGAAAGATGAACGATAAGCGAAAGAGAGAGAGTATAAGAGTGTGTGCTGCAGCACAAGCCGGCAGCTTCGGAGCTGTTATAACCGTGTGTGTAGCCGAGACACTGAGAAGTATTATATACATCTCGTAAATCAAGTTGAAAAAACTTGAGAGAGCGAATCCCGAAGTGCTGCTGCTGATGCTGCCGTGTGTTGCAGCGAGAGAGAAAGAGAGATATACACAAGAAGAATATTGCAGAGCAGTGCAACGAGTCTTTCCTTCCTTCCTGCGCCTCGTGTAAAACAATAAAAAGAAGACAGCTCCAGTCGCTTGTCGTTCTCTCTCTCTCTCTTTTCTGCATATGTGTTAGTCTGCGTGGAATGTGTGTGTGTATGTGTGTGTGTGTGTGTGTCTGTCTGCAGTTGTAGTACAGAAACAGCAGCATCTTTAGAGGTAGTATAGTGTAGGCCTCGCGCGGGCAACACTTCAACGATAGCCATCTCTATCCGCAGCCTCAATTATCTCTTTCGCGCTTCCAGGCCCAATAAGTTATCCACGTGTAATTTAGACTCTATCGCTCGCGCGCACCGTGGGCCGTGTTTCGGGCGCCCCGCGCGTACACATACATACAGCAACGACGGCAGCAGCAAAAAAAAATATATGAGATCGGGGCACGCGGACCGAAGTCGCTAATTAATTATACGGGCCGATGAAACCGCAGAGCAATAGGTACGCACACGCATGTAAGAAGTGTAAGAAGGGAGAGTGCCGCGATTATATTGCGATTTATATATATGGGCGATCGTCGTTCATGATGTATGGATCATGTATATTGTATATAATATGCGCGTAACAAGCGTGTTAACACGACGACGATGCGCGAGCTTAAATAATTCATATTGTGGTGTGGCCGCGCGTGTGCACGAGCGGCGGGGACCCTTCATCGCGACGCTGATGATTTTTCAATGATAATTGCCCGGCAAATAATATTACAAATGGGCACGCTGTGCGCACACGCGTTCGTGTAATTTGCCCAAGATGCCTTTAAGATTGTAGATTCGCTAGCGAGATAAGACGTTTACGGGGCGGCGTTTTTTTCTTTAATTTTTTTTCACTCTCTTTGGGCAGGTGTATATCGTAATATATAGAAGGGCGTCATATCGATGACGATTTACGTCGATTCACGTCGCTGTTTGGAACGGCTACCGCTTCTGGGCACGAGTGTTTGCGAAAAATCTGATTTGATTTTGCGACTGCGGCATGTGTCTCGCGATATGCAAATTTCACTCTTTTCGTCTCTTTCGCGGCTTATCTACTCCTATAAATTGATATATTTATTCAATACTCGATTGATGAAATAGCAGAGTCAAGATCGCGTAATCATTTCGCATTAGCTTAATCGATCAATCGACATTATAATGCGCGGAGGCTTACCACCAACGAGGCCCGGTTGAAGCGTTGCCATATGCTGTCGCGATAGATGTGGCGGCTGCTGCTGCTGCTGTTGATGATGCCTGGGCTGCTCCCAGGGTCTTGCAACTATGCTCTGCTGCACCGTCTGATGCTGCTGCTGCTGCTCCTTAACGATATCGTCTCTCTTTTTACTAACTTCCCGGCTACTGTCCTCGTCATCCTCGTTACCACTGTTTTCACTGATTATACTCGAAACGGCACTAGCAGTCGTGTTGGCGGTCGTTCCTGCGACGGCAGTCGTGGAAGCGACGATAATCGAGTGATTGCTGCTGCTGCCATTATTGCTGTTGTTGTTGTTGTTGTTGCCGTTCGTAGTGCCGGCGGCGTTGTTGGTACTGTTGTTGTTGTTGCTGCTGTTATTGTTGGAGTCCTCGCGATTGTTGGGGGTGTGCGCAGTAGCTGGACTGGCGCTGGCCAATCGTTGCTGCTCCTCGACCACGAGCATGGGAGTCGTCGCGGCGGGTGTCGCTGGTTTACTCGCCGCTGCCGCTGCCGCTGCTACGACTACGCCGCTGTTTCCTGCGCTGCCGCCACTGCCGCCTATCATAGCGCACCGAGTCGACTGACAGCCCGGACTTTTCTCTCTGCTCCTTTTTTCGTCCAGTCGATGAACGATTTTGTTCGATTACAAAAACCGAGTCCGTATGCTAATTTGTACTGCACCAAATGAATCACAAAACAGTAACATCAGCAGCAGTAACAACAACGACGACAGCAGCAACAGAAACAAGAATTACGTTGAGCTTTGCTACGACGATTCGAAGGTAGACGTGGACAACGACGACGACTGCGGCAACGGTAACAGCGACACCGACGACGTAAATAAAGACGATGTCAACGTCGGCATTGTAGTATACGTACGCAAATGCTTGTATATCCGTATGCAAGAAAGGCCGTATCGCAACTTCTAACGTGTTGCAGTGTATGTACGTACGCAATGTATATGTACAAATCTTCGCACACTTTTGCACACCAGTCGTTCCTCTTTCTCTCTCTCTCTCTCTTTCTCACGACGTATATATCACACACACACGATCGCGACACACAAGAACAGCAACACGCGATGCGACTCGTTCGACTGCTACGAGCACTCTGGCCGTGCAAAGCTTTAAAATATAATCGATGCTCGCGCGCCTCGCTGACTTTCAGGGCGGGGGTGATGCGCGCCAGCAGCGGCTACCTACCTACCTACCTACCTACCAACTATACTACTACTACTACTACTACTACCGCTGCTACCTCCGCTTCTTCCTCTCTCTTTCTCTCTCTTTCTCTTTTGCTCGCGCTTATACCTGGCGCTGCTTGCACACAGCGCTCACAGGTGTATACGTGAGTATACGTGTGTATGAGTGTGCGCGCCTGTACAGGTATACACGAAAGCGGACGGAGTCGCGCACTCGCTCGAGCTCGGGCGAGCAATAGGGTTAGAGCTCGAAGCGCGAGCACGCCTACCCAGTGCTCGCCCACCATCTCCAATTGGACGCGCCACCTTCGGCCTCGCGGACGCCCACCGAGCGCAGCGCATGTTGTAGTATATGCAGCACGAGCACTGCTCACACATGCATGCACATTGCCCGTCTCTTTTGCTCGCGCACAGCAGCAGCAGCAGCAGCAGCGCCTGTACGATGGCTAAGAAGGAAGGAGAAAGAGAGACAGAGAGTGGAGGCTCCCACTTTGATAGCCGCGAGGTAGAGTAGCCGAGCATCGCTGCAACTCTTTTCGTCGCACAGAGCCAAGAGAGCGAGCCGAGACATGCGATGCAAATCAATTGATTTAACGCTGGCGTCGCGTCATGGCTGCTCTCTCGCGCACTGCTTACTTACATACATAATGCGACTAGCTAGTTTTGTATATCTTTTGTTTGATATCATGCTGCTGTTGCTGCTACTGCTGCTGCTACTACTGCTACTGCTGTTACCGGCCGACAACTTGACACGCTTATAACTACTCGTAATTGCTCATATATATTTGAGCAAAATTTATCTTGTTCGAGAAAGAGAAAAAGAGAGAGAATCACATCGAGACGATCTGCAATTTAAAAAGCCTTCCTCTGGCTCTTACACGCGTACACGTAATAATTTCTGGCTTGTGTGAAAGAACATGGCTGCGATTTGTGCGTGTGCTGCTGACAGGTGATGTATACTCGCCCGTATCCAACTTTCTTTAAACGCGTGCAAATGTTGAAAATCGCGTAAATCCGAGCCACAGCTAAACAAAATGGTGTTTTGTATGTATATTGCGTGTAAATTACAAGGAAATAATCTACCGAACACGCTATAGTTTGACGCCAGATAAATATTCATTTTTCAACGGATCAAAATTTTAACATCCATCTCTCAGTTCTTATTTTATATTTTCTCGTACGATATATTTTTTTTTATAGAGATTTTTATAATGAATCATTTGATGTAGATGTATTAATAAAAATTTGCCTACTGAGATTGTTTTCTTCTGCTCTACTGAATTCGTTTAAGTTATCGACTGAAGTTACGCTACATAAAAAATAAACTATTTTGAATAAAGTAATTGCTTCTTCATAGAGGGAGCGATATGAATATCATCCTCATAGAAGCTCTATGATTCTTGAAAATGAAATTTTGAACCAGACATTATTGGGTCATTCATTTTATACATTTGTAAACTCCCTTGAATTGCCAATAAATATTTTCTGTTGGCTTTCGCAGCTATAGACTCAAAATGTAATCACACTTTATCCTCTTTTTATTAGATCAAATTAAAGATTTATAATTAATTTATCAATAATAAAGCTTTAATTAGTTTATATTAGTGGTGATACCTAAAAATAACATTTTTTATCCGAAAGCTCTTTGCCAATGACTTTACAACGGTTTTTTACTACCACTATATTGTCATAAATTGCTCCGAAAATTACGAAAAAATTCACACGGGTTCTTTCATCGAATCCAAGCGATTTCTTCATAAATTTTAGAGCATTATTTGTATATGCTAGCTGTTAATACAAATAATGTCAAAGCTGTTAAGCAAATAATAATATGACAGCTGTTTTTTAATTTAAAACCAACTTAATTTATTTTTATTGAGCGTTTTTATAAAAATTGTACCTTTATCATAATATTAAATATTGATATTCTCAAAAATTTAGATAATATGTTTTATACACGATTTTTTTTATAACATTTTTTGTTCTTCTTTGCATAAAAAGAGCGAAAATTATGATTTATTAAAAAAATATTGATCAGTTCTGCAAAATAATGAGCGATATCATACGAGCGCTAGTATAGGACACTAATACATAAAAAGGGGGATACGTGAGGTGATTTATCCCATGACGAACTACACTCGCTTGGATACAAGAAAGCGTGAGTCTTATGAGGCTGCTAAGGCAAAGACACATTCCGGCCGGAACTTATTTCGGCACAGCTATGCAAGATAGCATATCAAATTGTAAATTATTTAAGAGTTAGTACTAATAACTTGAATTAAATTTACAGACAAATTGCAGAATTTGATATTTTGCTACTTGCAGGTTCCCAATGCGCCATATAGGGTGACGGCACCAATGAATGAATGACCCCCAATGAATGAATGACCAAGAAAAGATTAAAATTAAAATATGAAAGGAAATTTTAACCCATGTCAAAAAATTATTTTTATTTTATTGATGCTTGAAGTTTGAAATACTATGATCAGTTTTAGTTAAACTAGCTTCACTTTTTCACAAAAATTCATATAGAGTCGATAGTGAATGAATGTATTCATTTACTGGGATAATGCGACTTGGCATGGCGCGATACCAGTAAATGAAAAGACAATGTTTTTGCCGTCCCGCCAACGTTTGAGGTTAGGTCGCAGACGATGCATGCAGGGCGCAGTGCGTACATCGTTTAGATTTAGGTTAATTATAAGCTAATTTTAACTTAATTTAAACTAGTTATTAAAGATGGCTAAAACCGAAACGAACAATAAAAACGTAAAATAAAAACTTTGAAAAAACTGGACATAATGTCGATAAAATTCTCAACCTGTCAATGCTCTCTCATAATATAATTCATTCATTCACTGGGTCCAGAGTATTCATTAATTGGTTCTTTACCATTCATTCACTGGGGTACCCCATTTTATTGAGTTATATCATTTATAACTTTATGAAATATTATTTTTCATGTATTTCAATTTTTTTATTCATGAAATAAGTCCTAATGAACACAAATTTGAATGCACGCTAGGGATTAATGCAAATTTAGATTTTAAATCAATTGATTATAAGCATAATTTTGTGAATCCATTCATTCACTGGTGCCGCCACCCTAGTAGAATTAAATCGATACAATTTTTATTATAGTAATTAGCGAACTTTTACTAAAATGAGTTCAAGTTTCAAACTTACTATAATAAAATATTTTAGTCATGTATGTCATATATAATTATAAAACATCAAATAACGTGTTTGTTCTTTTCAAAGTTACTTTTCAATAGTACATCATAGGGCATCATAGGAGCAGGAAGCAAATCATGAATAGTTGGTTTCATGAATAGTTGGTTTCATGAAATAGTTAATAAATCGCATAAATAAGTCATGAAGTTAAATTTTATGGCAATAATGACATCTAATTAAAATAAACTAAAAGATAAATTCTACAAGCTACTCTGTACAAGCTTAATTCGAAAAATTATTCTTAGTAATTGAAGTTTATTTAATTTTAAATTTTAGACATATTTTTTAAGCTCTTTTTATAGTAATGATACGGACAACGCCCTTTTTTGTTGAAATAAGAGAAAGGTGTACACATTCGAAACATAACAATTCCTTCTAATTATTTTACAATTAATGGTGAAGCAATAAATTAGATTATTACGTCGTCATAAATGCACTGGATACGTTTAATAAATGAAAAACTAGAACAAAGCGACATTTGTCGAATTCGATTGATTTCTTGCAATAATTTCACTTCCCCGACAAGTACTTCCTACAGGCACAATTCTGCTTATTAAAAAAAAACAGATAAAAATCAATCGTACGCGAGACAGATAACTCCGAGCGTTATTATTTCTTATCCGCATATCCGCCTCAATCATGCGGAAAACTCGAGTACGTCAATACATTTGCACGTGAGGAGAGCATGAATCGAGCAATTACACGCAAATTTTTTTCTCATGACACCGAGAAAAATAAATCATCTGCTCCGACGATGGATTTGAGACGTATGTTTGCTCATCTTTGCGATTAGTTTTTTTCTCGCATGTATGTGCAAAGCAAATGAGCGCGATTTTCCGCGCAGCATCGTCGCGGTCATTACGATCGAGACTCGCGTGGTGCATCGGCGCTAAACACATCGTGCAGCTTAGCCGTGATGCCGACGCTCGAGCAATTTGTCATGCCAAAGTCATACGCATAATTAGATAGTCGAGCGAGCCACGAGCGCGCGTGTGCATATAATGGCAATTTTCTCTGCCTTTCGCGTATTTTTCCAGAGGCGGCTCTAATTGACATTATTATATTCGCTCGCCTACTATTACGCGTAACGGTTCAATCGGCACTAAGCTACTTACACATTTTACAGCTTCCGATA